CACGCGAACCTGTAACATCATTTGGGATGGTCGTTGTGTCTGGGTGCTTAAATTCTGTTGTTGCACACACATAGCCAGCCATGTGGCAAAGAGGCAGCTGTGCTGATGGTGGACTGGGCCAGGGATCGAATGGCGGGGCCGTTCCGGGATGAAAACATCGCTGTTCATCAGCATATTTGCCTTCGGGGTGGTTGCCGCCTGTCACCTGTCGGATTTGTTACCGGTGCTGCGGCCTTGGAGCCTAGCTAGTTCATTGAAATAAATTATTCCGCACATCATCTGTTCGCCAAGGTTCCGAGATTGTTCGAATCCGCCTAGCCACCCCCTTCTGGGTGGACCTTTTACGGATTCGGACGACGGGAGAGACATTTTCGGTTACTTCTACGCTAGAGATGACTTGAGACTCCGATTGCGGCGAACTGCGGCGGCAAAGACATGCTTGATGTGACAGGTCCACTTTCTCTATCCCTTTGGTACAGCCCTGGGAAGATTGAAGCGCTATTTCTCGCGTGGTCATCGCATGTCGAAGGACATTCAACGAGACGTCGCAAGTTGACACGAGCTATCAAGAACGGTGGCTCGGAAGGAAACCTCGCTTGCTTCTGCTCCAAAGTCGCTAACTTGTGATTTGATCTCCTGCAATCAGGCGAAGACATGGTGATGGTTACCATCTCCCTTTTGGACTCACGAGACGGTCAGAATTCTTCTCCATTGCCCTGCCGAGGCTTCTGTTCCCATGGAAAAGAGGCGATTGGCCATCGGCGTCTTTTGAAAAGAGGTGACGTTGAGACATCTGGTTACACGTCTCCTGACTATCGATCTTGACAGGAGGCTAGACTGTGGGATGACGCTAGTTGGGCGTGATGACTGAGACGTTCTTACCGGACGTATTAGCCTAGATGTCTCAAGTGAAACTTTCGATGGCTTTTCTGGAGACGTTTCGGCTGTCTGGTTGGACGATGCATCGGTTCGCCCGGCCGACGCCCTTGTCGATGGGCCGCCCATCGCAAACAGTCCGCGGGGATGCAATAAAAAACACATATTGTTTCTTCTTCCCAGTTCGTACGGAGAGAAACGCACAAAGTCCTGTTGTCGAAGCAGCCCAGGTTGAGTTTTGGGTATCCTTTGGATCCACCATGAGTGCAGCCCGATTCCAACGTCACTCTTGCCAGCTCGAGAAAGCCACATGGTCGTGGTCTGGACGCGATGGCTTCCGTTGTTGCCGCCACAAATAGACGGTTGCGAATAGCTCCAAAATCTTATAGCCTATTTGCCTTGGAATCTGCGCTTTACTAGTTAGGAGGGAAGCTCCTGAGTGGTCTCCGACCCGTCGTGGCGTGTTCTGAGGCTTCTCGGCCACCTCTGGTTTCGGTAAATTCTCGTCAAAACACAAGTTTTTCGGCGCAGCCCGATGAGCCTTCGGAGAGTAATTTCACTCAGCTTTCTAAACGTTGCAGTGAATTTGACAAGTCATTCTGACGCCCGATGAGGGAGGCAACAGGTGCTTCACGTCTCCCTTTCGCGTACATAAGACCACGCCAGGGGCCGTCAATCCTTAGGATGCTTGACTCACCTTATCCCTAGTTCGACCACGGTTGTTGAAGATCCGCAACTTGAAAGACTTTGCGAGTATAAAAACTGAAGATCGGTCGCTTTAGGAAAGCATTCAAGTTAGGATATCACCACCCACAGTTCTCTAACCACTAGTCTTTCTTTACTAGCTTCGTCGATCACTTCTCACTGGACGTATTTCATCGTCATTCCATTCTTTCAAGACACCATGGGCATCCGTAAGACGTCCCGTATCGTAGCCGCACTGGCTTCAGTTGCATCCGTTGCCGCACACGGCCATGTAACGAACATCGTCATCAACGGCGTCTCCTACCGCAACTACATCCCAACACAAGACCCATACACCAACAACCCACCTCTGGTTGCCGGATGGTCTGCTGACCAGAAGGACAACGGTTTTGTCGACCCGAGCGCTTACACCGCACCCGATATTATCTGCCATAAGCAAGCCGCCTCCGGCAAAGGTCGCATCACTGTAGCTGCCGGCGATACGATCCAGCTCCAATGGACCGAGTGGCCGGACAGTCATAAAGGCCCTGTCATGGACTTCCTGGCCAACTGCAACGGCCCATGTAACGCCATTGATAAGACAGCCCTCCGCTTCTTCAAGATCGACGGTGCCGGCCTCATCGACCCTCCTCAGCAAACCAACAAGTGGGCTGCGAGTGCCCTCATCGCTAACGGGAACGCGTGGCTCGTTCGCATCCCGTCCAATATTGCACCAGGCCACTATGTCCTCCGCCACGACATCATTGCTCTCCACAGCGCCGGCCAACAGAACGGAGCCCAGAGCTATCCCCAGTGCATCAACCTGGAGATCACGGGTGAAGGCACGTACAATCCCCCTGGAGTTCTAGGCACCGCGCTTTATGGGGCGAACGATCCTGGTATCTACTACAACATCTACCGTGACAATCTCAATGACTATGTCAACCCTGGGCCGGCAATCATCTCTGGTGGTGTCTCGATGGTACCGCAGAGCAGGATCGCGATCACTGCTTCCGCAAGCGCGACGCCGTATGGCACCACGGTTATTGCTTCATCTTCCCGGGCTGCGAGCAGTGCTGCTGCCTCTAGCTCTAAGATTACTACTAGCTCTTCCGCCAGCTCTTCTGCTTCCACTTCAGCATCGAGCAAGAACACCGGTAGCAGCAATCCGACAAGTACCATTGTCCGAACATCCACCTCGACACTGACGACCTTGAAAACCCTCACCAGCGTGACTCCGACTACCACCAAACCACCCTCTAACGGCGAGGTCACTCAGGGTCTGTACCAGCAATGCGGCGGCAATGGCTGGACCGGTCCGACGGCATGCCCAGCATACGCCGCTTGTTCCACCATGGACTCGTACTACGCACAGTGCAGACCTACGCCAGCTGCTGGTGGAGGTCAGCCTTTGTATGCGCAGTGTGGAGGGAACGGATACACCGGAGAGACTCGATGTGTGTCGGGGTCCCAGTGTACTGTTATCAACCCTTGGTATTCCCAGTGTCTGCCTTGAGCAAAGTGGTGGTTTGGCCTCACTCTTGCCCAGCAGGCATAGTATGCAAGAAGTGTAATGGTTTGGGTATTTTCGGAGCGCAGCGTGCAAGCATGGGAGGTTGTGTAGTCCTGGGAAGACTTTGGGATGTTTTGTTCTTGGTATAGTTAGTGCGTTGAGCACGGATAGTCTAAGTCGCAACTTTAATGGCTTATAATCTCTGAGTCTCTGCATTGAATCAGAATACTACTGTACGTAAACGTTCATGTATGCAGCCGTGCGAGTTGAACTTACTACTCAACGCCGAAAGGTTCCCCCACGGCCTAAGAAAAAGAGCGTTACGAATCTAGGACTTGATACTAGACATTAAGTCGTGATGTTGATATAAGTTGCGCTCGGCCAACACAAGTACACAATCTAACGCAGTGATGCAACAGTGTGAGATCGCCGATACATATTACATTTGGGGCTGCCACCCAAGTCAAAAGTGCTAGTGAACACGTGCTTCAAAAAGCAGACTCGGTTGTTGAGACTCAGTAGAAAGACTTTCAACACATATCATCCCCTGAAGCTGATCATCTGGTCAACCATGAATGCGGGGATGTAAGCGGCGGCGTCTTAGTGAAACCAATATGAATGAGACCTGAGGATAACTGAGTCGTACGAATCGAAACCTTACTTCGGACATCGGGCAGTAGGTTCCACAGGGCTTTGTTGTACCACCAGTCTCACAAAAGGAGTCACAGGCCACCCTGACTATTTAAGAGAACCTCCGCACCTTTTGACACGATGTGTTGGTCGTCGCTTTTTGTCAGTACATCACCTTCTTCGACATTGGTGAAAACTATCACTCAATTTTCTCAACTGAAACCAGAGTTGACTTGAACCAGAATGAAGCAACTCTTCCATCTACCTTTCTTGTTGATTCTCTTCATGAGCTTTTCTTTTGGACAAACTCAAGAGAGCGCTTGCAGAATCGTGACAACGAACTACAACATTGGCGTAAGTCAGCATTTGAAATGACCAAAAGCGCAGCAAGACAGCGAAGACCTAATCTGAATACAGTTCAATGGCATCACACCATTGAGCCCTAATAAACAAGCTCTCTCACCTCCGACTCCATACTTCGAACTCGCCTACGAAGGCTTCGACATCAAGGCAGTGGCAGGCCCAAATGACGTCTCTGATAGAAAGTACTTGACATACGAAGGAACATCAGTGTCTAGCACACGAGCCATAAGGAGAGACTACAATGGATCTCGTGTTGAGAACTTCGATCTAGATGGCTTCGACTACAAATGCATCCGGACGTTGTCCGAGCCAGAGCGGCGACCATGCAAAATCACAATCACTGGAGTATCTGTAAATGGCGACAATGTGTCTGAAAGTTGCACTGACGACTGGATGAGAGCGGATGCAAGTCTTTTACGATGCGACGTTAAGTTGATGAAGAATCTCAGGGGTATCAGGATTGCGACCTCGAGAGGAGGGTACCCCACCACCAATCCGTTTACTATGGTCACGGTCATGGACAATCTCAACTTCACGGTACGAAGGAAGGAATGTTGAAAACTCTGAGATTAACATATTCTTTCACGCTTGATAGCTATGGGATATAGCTGCAAACCACTTGTCAAGTTACCTCTGGCGTTGATCCTGTTTGTCTACGAGGTGAGGAGGCGAAAGCCCGCGTCATTCGCCTTGTTCTTTCCATCTACATGTAAGCCGTCGTTTGAAACGCAAATCACTAGTGCACCAACTGAAAGAATATAAAGACGGGCTGCTATTGGTACGGAACAGAGCTTCGTTTACATAGTTCCATTTCGATCAAGAATTCCTCAAGTGAAGTGAAGTTACCAAATCCATCTCAACCAGTACCTCCAGATCAAGACCAGTCAGCTGAGTGCTGCGCACTACTTGCCTATGAGCGTCGGATACGACTACTCTAAACGCCAACAGGAGTTTGGCAAAGAACGGCCTGTCCGAGCTGTTCGTTGTTAGACACGAACACAAAATCGGTTCAAGATTTGAAGTCACTTACCACAGGGAGAACGCAGCAACGAGCCCGCTGGCCACCAACCGCGCAGATCTTTCTAAAGTCGTTGGCAGAGGAGGGAACCGAAGTGGCTATGGATGATTAGGGTGCGGTTCAATTAATCAATATTAATATAGCTTTTAACTTACGGGAAGCACAATCAAGGTCAGCGACTCCGAGGACATCGGTCGCGCAGCACTGGGCACTGTCGTACAATCCAGAGCAAGGATCGTAGGGGGCAGGAGTAGAGCCGCCGCCGTTGTGTCCGTCACCAGTAGGGGCAGCGACCGCAACGCTGGCGAAGATGGCAATGAGAGCGGTGGTGAACTGCATTTTGATGTTCTTAAAGAGTTCCTGGCGGAAAACTAAACGATTGGAGCTTGTAAGGCTGGTGTTTGACTGGAGGCTGGAGAGTTGAATGCTGATGCTGATGATAATAGATGTTTGGAAGGGATTTCGACCTCGGTTTATATACTTGGTTTACATACCATCAGTTGAAGACCAGTCCTGGCCGATGCAGTTCTTGCTTGCCTTGTTCAAGTCGATCCTGGACCTCATCGCGCCCGGCTACTGTGATCGGGAGACAACCTCCCCCGGCCCCCAAGGCAAAAGTCTCGCCACATCGTGAAGCATGCCACAATGGTCTCGGCCTCAAGGCAAACACATTCAACATTCAGAGTCACGATAGTATGCATACCGGCTATGCCGGACAGAGTGACCCATTTCCTATTTGGATGACATGGCTGCACGTTACAATATTGGCTTGGCTTCCCACTTTATTTGGGCTGGGCTTCAACTTCTAGCACCTGTCACATTCTTCCACTCAACACGAGTTGTTTGGAAGCACAGTATCCAGTAAGGCGCCACTAAAGATCTTGAATAGGATGGGAATCCTTCAAATCCCCGAAAAAAGCAAATTCCGAGCGAGTCCGTGACGCTACCGCGGAAGCAGCAATCTCGTCCCGTGTGGAGAAGAGCCAGGACCTGACCACGGGTGCAGCCGCTCCCGTGTATTTAGTGTTGTTTAATGCAACGTTCCCCGCCTTCAGCTGGAAGTGTGAGCGAATCAAGGCCGACAGTCATTTCAGCGCCAGCCTTCCACAGTGGGTAATTGACGGATACGACCCTACACTTACAGGCATACAGGCATGATCGTCGCTGCGCTGTTCCTCTCTGTGAGCAGACTTTTCACCCAGTCTCCAGTTCTGGGGCATCATATCATGAAGAATCTCAGGCCGCAAGCATCGACATGGGCTGCAGAAGCCCTTCGACGTTTCTTTTTCCGACGGCTGGGAATCAAAAGGTTCTTGAAATTTACGTTACCTTGGCATTTGATTGAGGCCATATTCAGCCGAAAAGTCAGCGCGGCAGGATATGGCCATGCCAATCGTTAACAGCTGAGGGGATGTCAGAACTGTATCTCTACTGTGCCTGTTAATGCTCAAGTGGTTGCCGAGTGTCGGGTTCGAATGGGTGTTCTAGACTTCACCCGTAATGAAGCTGATTGGGCGTTCAACAATTTCGATAAATATCTCATTTCGCTGGCAATGATCGACGTCTTCCTTGCCCTTATTCAAGAGTAAGGCTTGAATATGACTATCCATTATCCACTCACATACATGACGCAAGGTGATGTCAGGGGTTGTTTGTAAGGGCTGAAACATGCAGCTTGAACAGTTGGCGATGCCAAAAAAGGCACTGCAGAGAGTTGCCTAGACCGCCGCGGCCAATAGAAGCTAGTCTGTCAACATGTCCAAGAGCAGTTTGCATCCCGGATAGAGCGTGGGTCTCGGAATGAAAGCAAATAAACATCCTGCAGGATCGAAGTATAACGTCAAAGCAATTAGACCACATCTCTACCCGCTCCAATACATACACGAGTAGTTCCACTGTCAGATCAGTAAACATTTGCAATCAACACCAAGGAGGTAAGGAGTTCGTACGCTGCATCAGCTTTCACCGAAATATGCACTACCGGCCCACCGACTCCGCCTCATCCCGTTTGCGGTCCAGTTTGTCGAACTTCCGTACAACCTGAAGGGTGGCAAAGTAGCTGAATGGCAAAGCGATGAACCAAAGACCCAGGTTGATGCTTGCCGTTGCAATGAGGGCGGTTGGCACGGCTTGAACACCGAAGCCAACGGCAACTGCGGCCGTCTCAATACCCCGAAGTAAAGAGCTATACCGAATTTGGTCGCCAGGGGAGTCCGAGAGGTTGCCGATACACCAGTAAATGTAGTTTTCCACCATTCCGAGACTGATCCGCTCGAACATGTAGACGCCGAACCCTCGACCAAACTCGCCCTGAAGAGCCCAATCCAACACGGGAAGCGTAAATCGATACTCATTCTGGATGATGACGGCCCATATCCATGTCGCGCTATTGAGTGAGGCAATCAGGGCATAAGTCGCGATGGCTCGCGTCTGTCGATTCTTAGTCCAGGGTAGGTCGACAAGAGATCCGCCCAGCCACGTCGCGAAGGTTCCCACAACTGCAGACATGAAGCTGCCCAGAGCTCTAGACCGGACGGTGAAGTAAGTGGCCAGGTAGGTGCCGGGATAGGCCTGTATCCATCCGAAGTACCAGAACAGGGGGATCAGGAGGACAATGGATCGACTCTTGAGCAGCTTCCACATTTGCTTGCTCTCTTCCCGCCAGTGAATTCCTCGCGGAGCTTCGATTGATGTACCGTCATCGCGTCTGACCTTCTCAGGATTCGACAAAAGGAGGCCGAAGAAGAAGCCCAAGCACTGAATCGCGATGAAGCCTAGATATGTTTGGTACCCAACTTTGCCTTTTTGGTTGACCTTGTGGTTGATGGCCAAGGATATCGCCCCTCCAATGATGTTACCAAAGTTTCGGAAGGTAAACCACGTCGCGATGTAGCGTCCTCGCTTGTGCTGTTCCGGATAGCCTGTACTTATGGCTCCTTCAACACTCCAAAAGAAGCCCGCACTCAGGCCACACGCAACTGAACCAAAGTAAACGAACCAGGTTGCGCCAGTTCTGTTGTTGACGTAGAGGCCGGCGGCATACAACGGATAGCCCAAGGAGCCTATCGCAAGCGTCCATCGGAACCCAATGATGTTCGTCATCCAAGGTCCAGCAAAGCAAGTTATTGTCATGAAGGCGTACAGAAGGGCATTGGCCGCATTGACGAGATTCGGACTCTGAGAGCCACCCACACCCAAGCCATTCATGGCGCTCCAGATGCCGGGAGCACTGAAGGCACATATGCCAACAACCAGAATCTGAAATAGGGTGCTTCTGAAGAACGGTATCGAGGATGGGGGCGTCGAGGGACCATCTTGACTGGGCTCCGAAAGATCCTGTCCAGTAGCAATAGTTGTAGTCGGTTCATTGGACTCAATAACGCCTTTCTGCACTGATTTGAGAGACATCGATTCGGGAGGTTCGAGTATGATCACGGTTGAAGAGATTAAATGGAATCTGTTCGAAGTTGTGACGATACAGATATCGAAGTTGTTGAAGAAGCGCCGACGCACCGCTTAACATCTTCTCAAGCAGGTGCCCATAATCACGTAACACGGCCAGAAATTGACATTATCGGTGTCTTGCTGGTATCGCTGCTTGTCATCCACGTGGTTGGTGATAAGAGATATCTAGCATCCAATAATTGGAGGGCTTGCGCCAGCTCTACAGGAATTGCGTGCTCCGGCTGGAGGGCCCGACTGATACCGATGATCGGCACCCCTCATCGGAGTGTGCACCAACCCATTCGGCTGGCAACTGTGATACCGAATGCGACCGAACCCCGCACAGAGGAGGTTCGCAGCAAATCCGCCGTCACTTCCTGATTGTACGATAAAGATAGACGTGAGTAGTTCTGATAATTCATCGCATAGTGTCACTTGTGAATGTTGCATGATGGTGGTTTATCGCCGGCTTCAAATCATGAAGGTTGAGTTGAGTTATCGAAGAACGTTCAAGATGGCGCCTGACCGGCTGATGCGTCCAACTGCTGATCCTGGATCCCAGAGCATTACTGGTGGTGTGTTGCGTCATATCAGAAGGATCCAACGATTTTGAACCCAAAGATAACGTGATTTTGGTTCCGAATGCATGTCGCACGTGTGACAGCGTTTCATTATATAGAGGACCGCTGCCGGTTTCTCAGGGTAAATTTAACTGGCCAGTTTCTGTATCTTCACCCTCGCCAGTAGACTACGTGAAGTACTACCACTAATCTGCAAATTCGACCACCGAGCCCAGCCCCGCTACAGTATGGCAACAGCAATCACTCTGAACTCGGCATTGTTCGTTCCGAATGGCACTGCCGACCCTGAGTCACAAACAGTGGTGTTTGAGCCTTTTGAATTGCCAACAACCAACCAGAGGAATCTGGGAGCTCCTCACCCCGAAGGCACGGTGATCCCACTTGCCCTGCGGCCATCAAGTCACGACGACGATGTCGAACTGGAGGCGATAATCCAGACAGTGAAGTCGCTCCAGGCTCGCGGTGGGATTCTCACAGAGAAGCTTGCCCTTCATGGGACTCTGTTGTTCCGAGGCCTACCCATCCACAATGCCGAGGACTTCAGCAAGTTCGCCCATGCCTTCGGTTACAGGCCACATGAAATCATCGGCATTGTGGTGAACAGGCCCCTGCTGGCTCCTAACGTAGCTCCTGCGAACGAAGCACCCAAGGAGGTTTTGATTTACAACCACAACGAGTCGCCTCAGGTACCACACGCTCCGGAGTACATCTTCTTTTACAACCACAAGGCTCCTGAAAGAGGGGGGGAAACCCCGATTTCATCTTCGCTCGAACTTTTCAATCGCGCTAAGGATGAGATTCCGGAGTTCATCGCCGAGATCACCGAGAAGGGGATTCTCAGCCGAGTCACGTACAAGTTCGACCGTCAATACGAGGGAGGATCAACGCTTAAGCAGGCCTTCGGCAAAGAGTTTCAGGAAGGAGATGATGATTCCACCAAAAAGGTCAAAATTGAGGCTCAGATTTCCCGGTACGGTCGTGGCGAGCATACTACATGGGAGTGGATAGAAGATGGCGTTGTTTTGACCCACCGGCTTCCAGCAGTACGCACGCAGCCCGGCACAAATCTGCCGACTCTGTTTACAGGTTTGGCAGCGTATTGGAAGAATGCGCAAGGAGGCAACGGGTCTAGGAAAGAGGTGACCAAACAGCTGTATGGTGACGGCACTCCCATTCCAGAGAAGTATCTGGAACATTTGTCGAAGATTACGGATGAGATCCGTGTGCTTCACAAGTGGCAGCGAGGCGACATTCTTGTTTACGACAACATCATTGCTCAGCATGGAAGGCAGCCTTGGGAGGGCGAGCAATCAGATCGTGTGGTTCTAGCCAGTCTATTTGATGGTCACAGCGTTCCTGGTGCGTACAACGATAAGAGTTGGGCCCAGGTTGTCCAGGCACTTGAAGGATAAGAACGAAGTCAATGGCCCACTCTCTCAGTGTGTTGCTAGTTTGAAGTAGAATACGATGTCTTACCTTGTCTCAGACAGGCCGCCCGTTTAACATCGGTACATCAGCAACGTCTTCAGTCTAGCTGTTCCTAATAATAAACTGCCACTAAATTGCCCGAAAGTGATGAGTTCTGCATCCTGAAGGATTGAGAAGTAAATTGGCTTGCGATCTTAACATGCTAATCATGACTGCTGAACTTATACTTGTAGCCTGGATGAGATGCTCTTAGCTTGGAGTCCCCAGGGGTCGCGTATAAGTTCTCCCTTGCGGTCCCTCCAGGGACTGCGTAATCCCCATTCCCCAACCATCCCCTTGCTTCGAGCTCAGGAATGAGGTATTCTATCACGTCTGCCCAGGCGCCAGGAACAACAACATGTCCGATGTTAAAGCCATCAACATCAGCAACCGTGATCCACTTTTCCAGCTCATCAGCCACAGTCTTGCCGCTGCCAACCTTGAAGTTCCCACTCCCCCCTATGGATTGGAATTCGGCTAGAATTCGCGGTGTCCACCTCTCATATCCCTGTGGCCGAGACAGGAGACGTTCCCGCTGCTGCGGTGTGAGCTTTGCCATCAGGGGGTGATTGGGTTCCGTGGGAAATTCTTCGTCAAGAGGGAATTCGCTGACATCAATGCCAGAGATGCCGCCGAGAAGTGCGAGGCCTCCGTCACCAATTGCGTACTTCTTGTATCGTTCGTACTTCTCCTAAGCCTCCTCATCTATAGCACTGAGAATCAGGGTAAACTAACATTTTATGAAGAATTCTTTTGTGAACTTTTATATAACTAGGGATATATAAGAGGTCCCCCTTACTCTAACTACCCCCTATATATCTAATAAACTACCTTTATTAACTATTACTTTATTAAGCTATAGTACTACTTTAAGTTCTACTAATAAGCTTTTTTATTTTAAATAGTTTAATTAGTTTATTTTATAATACTAATTATTAATTATTTTATTATTTTTAAATATTTTAGTAATATTTTTAAACTTATTAAATATTTTAAGAAAAAATAGATTATTATAGCTATATTAGTAAAGGATAATATATATTAATAAGTAATAAAAGAATAATACTTTTTTAAATTTATTATAGTTCTAAGGAAAAAAGTATTTATTTTAAAACTTATAGATATTTTTTTTAATAAACTAAGTAAAGCTATTATTACTTTTAAAGTAATAGTTATAGAAGTAATAAATATAGTATTACTTTAGTATTTTAGTATAATAGGTTATAGTAATATAAAGAGGGAGATATTTACTTCTTAGTAATTTATACTCTTTTTATATACCTCTATAAGTAGCTATAGAGGTGTTATAATTAGCTGTTTAATAGTAAGGTTTATTAATAGAAGCTAGAGATTAATATATTTAAATAGTATATTAAGGTTATAGTTTAAGTTATAAGTAGTAGATTAATAGTAGATTAAGTCTTTAAAAACTAAAGTAATTAGTTTTAAGCTTAATAAGTAATTTATAGTAAAAGTAAGCTAAAAGTATTTTAAAAATAAATATTAAATTAATTATTAAAGAACTATAGAAATCTAACTATAAGCTAAGTTTAAAGTTATACTATATATAAATCTTAGATAGTATTTTTTATTTATTTATAAGTAATTACTTAAATATATAAAATAATTATAATTAGTTAGTAAAACTAATTAATTACTAAGTATTTTATTTTATACTCTATTAATTATTTCTTTATTTTATTATTATATAACTTATACTATAGTTCTTTTATACTAAGTAAGTCTCTATAGTTCTTATAATCTTATAGTATAAATATCTTATTTTAACTACTTAACGCCTAAGTAAGTTATTTAGCTATTATCTTTATTTATAGGTTATAATATTAAGTCTCTTTTCTAAAAGTTTTATTTTTAAGACTTAATATAAGTAAGTTATTAGTCTTAAGTTAGAGATCTATTAATTATACTTCTTAATTTACTTATAATATTAATACTATATTAAGTTATATTTAAAAATTAAAGTTAAGTTCTATTTCTACTTTTTATTATTATAATTATATACTATATATTATTAAGTTTACCTTATATAGCGTAGTAATATACGCCTAATAGGCTTATATATTACTTAAATATATAGGTGTTAGTTTAATCCTAGCTATAAGAACCCTTTTTCCTCTCTTCTAATTAGTTAAAGACCTACTATAAAAAGTAGGTCCCTCTCTTAAGGGACCTATATACATAATAGGGCACTAATAGCTTCTAGCTAATTATTATATAGTATTATATATATATTATCTACTTTATTATATACTACTTATAGCTTAAGTTTTCTTCTTATAAAGAGTTTCTTAGTAGTATATAGCTTAGTATTAAGTATTAGTATAGAGTATTAAGGCCTTAAGCCCTCTAATATAGATTAAATAGAAGGAGAAGTACCTTTATACTATTTAATAAATATTATTAAGTTTAGTTTTATTATTAATATACTTTATTCTTATTATTACTTTATAGGGAAGTATTATAAACTACTTCTTAATAGTAAGGTTTATAGTAAGTATACTTATTTAAAGTAGTTTTATAATATAGTAGTAGATATTATTTATACCTATATATTTTTATATTTCTTATACTTTATAAGTAGTATTTAACTTACTTTTAATTAATTATCTATTAGATAAAGTAGTTTATTTAAAGGATACTAAAGTAACTAAAAAAGAAGTATTAAAGAAAAAGGCTACTACTTTATATACTATATAAGCTAAGTTAAATAAATCTATAGTATAGTTAGATTATTTATATAAATAGAAGAGAATAGTATTTTAGAAAAGTTAAGAAGTTACTAAAGAAGAGCTAATAATATCTCTTATATTAGAAGTTTAATCTATAAGTAGTTTTAGTATAATTAATCTAGATTTAATCCTTAACTAAAATCCTAATACTTTAAACTTTTTATTA